CGCAGCCTTAAATCCCGAGGTTCAGGGCTTCAACAAAGGTGTAGTTTACCTCAGCGTGTCTTTTCTCGATGCTAAACCCCCAGAACGCCATAGCCTGAATCTCCACACCACCCCTTCCGCCTGAAACAAACCAAAGAAGCCAAACCTTCACCCTAAACCCTACACCCTAGCCTAAGCCCTGTTCCGATTCCGACATGGAGGCCTCATGAGGCCAAAGGGAGGAAGCTTGCGGGGACATCGGCTCGCGGCTCTACTTGGAGGTTCAAGGGTACTTCTAACCCCAATTCTACGTCTACTCACATCCTACTTAGAGGACTTAGGAAAAAACTCAGGAATCCATTTGCGGAAGGAGAGTAGCACCTTTCAGTGGCTTTAAGTAACCATGACGGCGTGTCATTCGCAGCCGGGCTTTATGAGGTCCGGGTTTGCCCAATCGAAAACTTCCACATGTTGGGCAACGAGAGGAGGTTCCCCTCAACCCTAACCCTTCAACCCTGGTTGGGACTCCGTCTACCCGTGGAGGACCCAGACCCCTGGGAGGATCCAACAAGTAGAGCCCCCAACTAGTATATGCTGCTATTGGGTCATTCTTAGGAACCCTTAAGGGGATCTATTTTTTGGATCAGACCATGTTCATGGCGGAGAGACTTGAGAAACCACTTCAAAATGAGGAGAGCGACCGGCGACCGCCCCCGTCAGAAGAGACTCCCAACCCTAAGCCCTATAGGGGGTTCAGGGCCTAGGGTTTTAGGGTTTAGGGTTTCCCTCCCCTCCACGACGCATTTGGCAAAACTGTGGCGGGTTCAGGTCACCTGGAGCAAACCTGTGCCACAAGAAGGTGGATCTTCCCCATGGTTCAGAAGTTTTTTGGCCCTGCACCCCTAAACCGCTAAACCCCTAAACCCCTGAACCCCTAAACCCCTGAACCCCTAAACCCCTAAACCCCTAAACCCTAAACCCCCAAACCCTAAACCCAAAACAAACCCTAAACCCTCAACCCTTCCGGGGGCGCCCAGGCTCGAGCTAATGCTGGAGTTCGCACCCTTGGGCGACCTGAGCGGGAGGACTGGAGGATTCGGCTTGGGAGCTTTAGGGTCTTTGTGTTTTGCATGTTGGGGCATAGGGTTTAGGGTTTAGGGTTTAGGGTTTAGGGTTCAAGGTTTAGGGTTTAGGGTTTAGGGTTTAGGGTTCAGGGTTTAGGGTTTAGGGTTTAGGGTTTAGGGTTTAGGGTTCAGGGTTTAGGGTTTAGGGTTTAGGGTTCAAGGTTTAGGGTTTAGGGTTTAGGCTTTAGGCTTTAGGCTTTAGGGTTTAGGGTTTAGGGGTTGGGTTTAGGATTCTTAGGGTGAAACATGCATGCCAGCGCGCCATGCCTCGCATCAATTGCCACCCCAGCAAGTCAGAAAAGCACCGGCAAACACTCACTTCCGTGTAGGAGGGTTTAGGGTTTAGGGTTCTCACTTGCGTGTAGGAGGGTCTAGGGTTTAGGGTTCAGGGTTTTGGGTTTAAGGTTTTGGGGTTTAGGGTTTCGGGTTTAGGGTTCTCGACATGATGGTCTCACCTATAACGCTTAGTTTCCAACGTCGAGCCTTATATACTTGATTGGTCATAGGATACCCTCCCAAAAAGGACCCCCCAGAATTCAGCCAAGCCTCGGCGTGATCCGTGTGCGAGGGGCAAGGGCGATTTTTGGGATTCCTTCGCCTTCTGTTTACCCCCCAGAAGTCGTCGATTGATATGAGAACGACCTTTGTACTCATCTAGTACAACATTAGGTATGTTTGTATACTTATATACATCAATTTCAACAGTAGATATATATTTATATATATACATGTATATATATATATTTGTATATACATATATATATATATATATATTTACATATATGTGTGTACAGGCATCTAACTCCTAGGCTCCAAAAAGGAACCCAAAACTGCCTCAAACAAAGAGAGCCGGGGCCATACCTGGTCCCCCTTCGAAAGGATTCGGCAGCACAAGGATGCTCCGCTGCATCGCGAGGGGAGGGTTTAGGGTTTAGGGTTTAGGGTTTAGGGTTTAGGGTTTAGGGTTTAGGGTTCAGGGTTTAGGGTTTAGGGTTTAGGGTTTAGGGCTTAGGGCTTAGGGCTGGGTAAGGTCTTGCTGCTTAGGGCGGTTGTAGGGCCTTCCTGGCCTACAGGGCCTACAACCTGAACCCTAACGACGAGCTTATACAAATCTTTAAGCCCTGAACCCTAAAAACGAGACTAAACAATGCTATAAACCCTGAACCCTGGAGGGGGCTTAGGGTTCTGGTGCGTATGTATATATATATATACATAATATATATATATATATATATATATTCATACATACATGCATGCATACATACATACATACATGTATGCATATGTATATATATATATATATATGCTTTCACTCATGCTATTTTGCAGCATTTTCCCAAAGCAAGCGCGCGCTACAAGCCTCTATAGGCACAAAAAGACACCTCCAGCAGCTCATCAAATCCTAGGCCCTAAACCCTAAACCCTGAACCCTAAACCCTAAACCCGCTTTGCAACTCTTTCAAAGCCCCACACGCCGAGGATAATCCTACAAGCCCCGGAAGCCCTATACGCCCAAGCATCACCACAAAGGCCCTTACTCCCTGGTATAGGGTTTAGGGTTTAGGGTTTAGGGTTTAGGGTTTAGGGTTTAGGGTTTAGGGTCAGCAACTTGCTTTCAATAGGGGGATTTGAAGGAACTCAATAGGCACCTTCTCTCTCCCTACATGACCCTCCAAGGGACTAGACTGATTAGAGGGGGTACCTAATCTCCCGGTAAAGTAAGTCCTAGTGCAAGCCTCATCAACCCTACAAGCCCTAAGCATCACTGTGACCTCCCTAGATCCTCAGGGTTCTTAACAAGTACCCAACAGTAGTATAGGGTACCGTTTGGCCCTAAACCCGAAACCCTAAACCCTAAATCCTAAATCCTAAATCCCCAACACTGAATCCTAAACCCGAAACCCCAAAACCCGGAAACCCCAAAACCCTAAATCCTAAACCCGAAACCCCACAACCCTAAATCCTAAACCCTAAACCCCAAAACCCTAAATCCTAAATCCTAAACCCCAAAACCCTAAACCCTAAACCCTGAATCCTCCGGTCTCATAAGGAGTGGTGCCAGTCCTCCTCTCGGGCAGGAGTGCTGTCAGCCGAGGCAAGAGGGTTTAGGGTTTAGGGTTTAGGGTTTAGGGTTTAGGGTTTAGGGTGCCGACTTCGGTGGTTTAGAGACTTTTGCGCGGCTGTCTTTGTTTGGCTTGTAAGGTTCTTGGGGCCAGGGATCAGAGGGCTTATAGGAGAAACCCTATGAGGCCCCGGCTCGGCATTTTAGGGGCTTCGGCAGGACCTGGGCTTGCGGCTACGGACTAATTAAGGGGTTGAGGGTTCAGGGTTTAGTGTTTAGGGTTTAGGTTTTTTTTTTTTTTTTTTTTGGGGGGGGGGGGGGGGCGGTTGTAAGGGTTTGGGGGGTTCTTCTGGTTTATTTATTTTATCATTTATTTTTTTTGGGGTACGGGGGCGTTTTGGGTTTGGTTGCGCGGAGGAGCCCCCCCTGAGCCCCCGTACTATTTTATTTGTTGGGCCGCGCGGGCCTACTCAAAATGGCCCACGGTTTAGGGTTTAGGGTTTAGGGTTTGGGGTTTGGGGTTTGGAGTTTAGGGCTGGGGGGGCGGCTTCAAAGAGTCCACGTGCAAAAACGTGTTTGTGGGTCTGGGGGGCAACCTCGACAGCCGAAAAAAGCTCTGATTGGCACGAAGCCCTTCCCCCCAAACCCGAAACCCCACACTCCACAGCCCCCAGCCTGTAGCTCTAAAACCCTAACCCTAAACCGTATAGCCCTAAACATCCCTAGACTCCACAGCGGCCTAAACATCGACCCTACACCTCCCAAGGGTTCAGAGTTCAGAGTTTAGGGGTTTAGGGGTTTAGGGGTTTAGGGGTTTAGGGGTTTAGGGGTTTAGGGGTTTAGGGGTTTAGGGGTTTAGGGGTTTAGGGGTTTAGGGGTGTAGGGGTTTAGGGGTTTAGGGGTGTAGGGGTTTAGGGGTTTAGGGGTTTCGGGGTTTAGGGGTTTAGGGGTTTAGGGGTTTAGGGGTTTAGGGGTTTAGGGGTTTAGGGGTTTAGGGGTTTAGGGGTTTAGGGGTTTAGGGGTTTAGGTGTTTAGGGGTTTAGGGGTTTAGGGGTTTAGGGGTTTAGGGGTTTAGGGGTTTAGGGGTTTAGGGGTTTAGGGGTTTAGGGGTTTAGGGGTTTAGGGGTTTAGGGGTTTAGGGGTTTAGGGGTTTAGGGGTTTAGGGGTTTAGGAGTTTAGGGGTTTAGGGTTTAGGGTTTAGGGTTTAGCGTTTAGGGTTTAGGGTAACTCCACTGCCCTCAGCAGGCCAGCAGCGGCATGCCAGAAGAGGAGGTGGTTTCCTATGGCGCCGCCCTTGCTGCCCTGAACCCTAAACCCTAAACCCCAAACCCTAAACCCTAAACCCCAAACCCCAAACCCTAAACCTGTAACCCTGAACCCTGAACACTGAACACTAAACCCCAACCCCTAGCCTTAGACTCCCAAACCCCTGGGTTCCTTTCAAGGCCCCGAGAGCCCTTTTGGCCGCACATCTCGGAACCTACCCCAACCCGTGAAGTCCCTAAACCCTGAACCCTAAACCCCCCAACCCCCAAAACCCTTAACCCCTAAATACCCCAAACCCCTGAACCCCTAAACCACGAAACACTAAACCCTAAACCCTAAACCCTAAACCCCTGAATCCAAAGCCTTGCAGCTTTGGGGCTTAGGGCTGAGGATTGCTTCCGGGTTTACTTGCTTCAAGGGCTGCCTTAGCTTAGGGTTTAGGGTTTGGGTTTAGGGTTTACGGTTTAGCGTTTAGGGTTTAAGGTTTAGGGTATGGCTCAAGGGCTTTTGGCTGCGAGGCCCCGCTGGGCAAGCCCGGTAGAGCTGGTGCATGTGTTTTAGGTCCTTCCATGGATACCACTAGGCGAAAACTTTTCTCTGGCCTGGGATTTTCATTACGACGTGCAAGAGCCTTGGGTCTGTTCGAGACGGCCGAATATGTCAGCATGGCGATGGTTTCGGCTAGTGGTCCACAAGTGGCTACCTTCCCAGTGGCCAGCAAGAGGGAGGTGCTTTGTTTGAGTGACCTTATTCCGTGTCATGCCTCGGCTTCCCACAGAGACACCGCATGTCAAACGAACGTGGACATTCTAACAAGGACGCAATTCGAGGTCATCATGAAGGATATGCAGGCCATGTTCCTCAGCACGCTTGAGCAGATCAAAAAACAACTCGTCGAGCGGGAGGGCGCAATTCAGGCTCTCGAGCAACAGATCTGTGAGCAAAAGATTCCCAGCGTTACGGTTGCAACCCAGGAAGTCTCTTCCTGTCACCCACAGAGTGGTGGCAAAACTTCGTCGCCAGATGCTGAGCAAGAGGTCAAGATGGAAGATGCCAGGCCCCGATCGGGTACTACACTGTTCTCGGCCAACAGGCAGAGTGGCTCGCTCGATGCACTGCGTCAACAACACGAGGTCGAGCGACGGGTGCATAAGGAAAGGTGTAGAGAAGAGAGGAAACGGAAGCTTGACCGGCCAGGGTGACTTTAGTTGTACCTCCACTCCACGAGAGCTGAGGTTTTTTCAGTGCATGTATGTACCCATTGAGATCCTGCTGACTTGTGGCACTACTGCTACAGACAAGGGCACACCCCCAGCAGGAGATGTAGCTGCATTGCTCTCAGACGTTCGTCCCGGCATAGTTCCAGGGGTCAAAAAAGGGTTTGGGGTTTAGGATTTGGGGCTTAGGGTTTAGGGTTTAGGGTTTAGGGGTTAGGGCTATTCAGCCCAAGAAACTTGTATAAGAACGTCCCCAAAAAACCTAAAATGGAGTCCTTAGAGTCTTTGGGTTCTCGAACTGAAGTTCAGTTTCTTGGGCTGTATAGGGTTTTAGGTGAAGGGTGGTTCTAGAGTCTTACCTTCTCTAGACCCGAGAGCCTTGGTTACGCTCTGCTCTTTTTCTTTGCTTCTCAGGATTACAAAAGTATGGAAGTTATAGATACCCGACATCCGACGAAGCGGGTATAGGGTCTGAAAGCCTGCTGATAGGGCTGAGCGCGAGGATGAATATGTTTTTGTTTAAGGGAGGGGGGTTCAAGCAGGGTATGTAACCCAAGCTTCCCTACTACTCCCCACTGCTCCCTAAGCTTCCCTAAGGTTCCCTAAGGTACCCCGCATGAACCCTAGGGGAGGATGCTAAGGGGACTGTTGCCTTGCTTGTATTCCCGAAGCCCGACCCCCAAAACCCCAAGCTTTGCCATACCCTTGAGAACCCCCAAAGCCTCTAAGGAAAAGCTTCGCCCTTCTCCTTGTGTGTGTGTAGAGAACCCGAGAGATCTATGTAGATTCCCTGACAAGCGTCCCTCCTTCGTCCCTTACCCGAAACCCTACACCCCCAGCCCCAAACCCTAAACCCCAAACCCCTAAACCCTAAACCCCCAAACCCCTAAACTCTAAACCCCAAACCCGAGCCCTCAAGCCTAGAAGCCCCGATTGCAGCCCTGACCCCTTAGCTTCCTAGCCCTAAACCCTAAACCCTAAACCCTAAACCCTAAACCCTAAACCCTAAACCCTAAACCCCTGACCCCTTAAGCTTCCTAGGCTGTGACATCGCCTCTGGGCTGGCGTACCTTCACAGCCTCCGGCCCAAGGCCGCCCCAAGTCCCTGAACAGGGTTTAGGGTTTAGGGTTTAGGGTTTAGGGTTTAGGGTTTAGGGTTTAGGGTTTAGGGTTTAGGGTTTAGGGTTTAGGGTTTAGGGTTTAGGGTTTAGGGTTTAGGGTTTGGGGCAACAGCGGTGTCATCTTAGACTTCGCGATCCCTAGAACACCAAAACCCTTTGGTGATATGTTCTAGGTTCGCTTTTTCTTGGTAGCCCGGTTGAACCTTTTTGGCAATCTTTTTTCTCAAGCTTCTCTTGTAAAGTAGCCACCCCCAAAAGGGGCAGCCTCATCATAATATGGTTACTGGAGGAAAGTCTTTTCAGAGGGGTTAGCAAGGGGCCAACCTAGATGAACCCTAAACCCTATCAAGCCTCTACACCGCCTATGCACCCTATGAACCCTGAACTCTGTTCTGGAAGGCTTTGAGGGCCAAAGTAGGCCGGATGAAGAAAAGGATAAGTTCAAGTTATCCCCGCATTTTTCTTCAGATATGATCGCCATAAGCCTAAAAGAACTAGAGCTATAACTTTTTTGACTTCTAAAGTCTGTAACCCCTATGATCTCTAGAAAGCATGTAAACACTAAACCTTGGGATGTTCCCCCATATACTTACAGTCTTTACTGGGATTATAGTACCCCCTATTACAACCCCTATTCAGGACTGTTAGTATAAGGGGGAACGTCCCAACCTAGAAAGTCTAGGATCCCTAGAAAGCATTTAAACCCTAAACCCTAAACCCTAAACCTATGAATTCTGTGAACCCCTGGAGTGCGGCTTGAGTGCAAGGGATCAGGCTGCAGCCTCGGCAGTCCTCGGGATGAAAAGGGTTTAGGGTTTAGGGTTTAGGGTTTAGGGCTTAGGGTTTAGGGTTGAGGGCTTAGGGGTTTAGAGTTAACCCTAAACCCCTCAACCCTCAGACAATGCCAAGCCCGCCCAGATACTCCATCGAGATGTGAAGCCCGCCAACATTCTGCTTTTCCATGGCGAGGCTTTCGGCTGGGGGTCTGGCGTTGGGGGGTTTAAGGTGGTTTAGGGGGTTCAGGGCTTAGAGGTTTTGAGGTGTATGCAGGGTTTAGGGTTGAGGGTTGAGGGGTTGAGGGCTTTTAAGGGAGAATGAAGGGACCCCCAAACCTGCCTATGAGGGCCTATTCTCCATTCCTTGTCGAAGTCGGAGTTGAGTTTATTGCTTGGAGGGTCATGGGTACTTATGACCCCAAATATAACGCTACTTATAACCTACTTAGAGGAACTTACGGGGGCGTATACGTGCAGTTATAATAGGGGTTCTAAGTTCCCTGAACCTCCAAGTAGGGCTTAGGGCGTAGGGTTTCGGATGATAGGCTTCTTTGATTGGGTTAGGGGGTTAGGGCCTAGGGCGTAGGGCTTAGGGCCTAGGGCTTAGGGCCTTAGGGCTCAGGGTTTAGGGTTTAAACCACCAGAGGTTGTGTGATGGGGTAAACAGCTCCCGCGCGCCTACTGTGTTCTTGTGCAAGGAACTGAACTCGGTAGGCCCTAAAGGCATGTCGTATTTTCCATTATTGGGTTTAACAGGACTACATGTCAATGTAGGAATGTTTTCAAAGGGCTTGAAGGGACATCCTAGCTAAAGGTTGCTTGAAGTTCTTCGTGAGGAAGGATGCGTTGCTGTTTAATAGGTATCAATGTTGTGGTACTGCCTTTTTGGTATTTGCAAAAAATGGAGACTTCCGTAATATATTTTAAGGGGCTGCGCCCATGGGCGGGCAGCGCACGCAGAAGCCCGGGGCGAGCAGTTTCTAAGCATGTTGAGGCCCCTAAACTCCCTTAAAATCTTTTTCAGGCCCCTAAACTCCCTTCAAATCTCTAAGCGTTTGAGGCTCCTAGACTCCCTTAACGTTTCTAAGCACTTTATAAGGCCCCTAAACTCACTTTTTCCTAGCCCCGGGCTTAGACACGTCGCTTATGCCCGCCCTTTGGGGGGCATCATGCTCCTGATGCGCCCCCGGGGTCCCGCCCCGGGAGCCGCTGATGCTCCTGATGCGCGCCGGGCTGGACCCGCTGATGCTCATGATGCGCGCCCTCTGGGGGCCTCCGTGGCGACGCAAAAAACCACGAAAAAAAAAAAACCGTTCACCGGCGGCACGCGGGGGTCGGCGGCACTGGCGTCCGGCCTAATTCTGCTTCGCAGAAGGCCAGCGGCCAGCAAGGCTATTCCCGGGACGACCCGGGCTAAAAGGTCCGCATTTGCTCGGTCCTTTGGGGACCTCGCGCTGCCCGATTTCAGGCCTAGCGGCACGGGCCGGCCCCCGCCCCCCCAAAGCACGAAACCTTGAACCTTGGCACTGTCTTCTCTTTCCCTTTTCTTTGTCCTTTGTCTTTGTCTCTCTCCTCTCGCTCTCTCGCGTGGTTTTTTTTATGTCTTTGTTCCTTCCTCTCTCTACTTGCCAGTGTTTCTTTTTCTCTGTCTTTCTCTTTCTCCTCTTACTTCTCCTGCGCTTCCTTATTTCCTCTTTCTGTTTTCTCTTTTGTCTTTTCTCTTTCTCTTTCGGATTCTCTTTCTCCTTCTCTGTCTCTTTCTCTTTTTCTTTCTCTTTCTCTTTGTCTTTCTGTTTTCTGTTTTCTCTTTTCTCGTTTCTCTTTTCTCCTTTCTCCTTCTCTTTCTCTTTCTCTGTTTCTTTTCCTTTCTCTATTTCATTTTTCGTCTCCTTCTCTCTGTGTCTCTTTCTCCTGCCTTCGTCCCCCCCTCCCCCCCCCCCCCCCCCCCCCCCCCCCCCCCCCCCCCCCCCCCCCCCCCCCCCCCCCCCCGCGCGCGCGCGCCGCGCGCGCGCGCGCGCACCCGCATCAGGAGCATCAGTGGGGTTGGTTTGGGGGCCTTAAAAGCATTCTATGCATGCGTTTTGCCTTCGAAAAACCTTTAGAAAACGCTGTAAACACGTGTTTTTGGGCTTGGGAAGCCTTTTGGGACCCAGGAAAGGGAGCATCATGAGCATCAGCGGCCTCCCCCAGGCCATCCAAAACCCCCTTAAACACGCCGATTGTATGTGCTTGAACGCTTGCGTGCCCACGAAACCCCCAAAAGCAAGACCCCGAATGCCCTTAAGGGCATTCGGGGTCCTGCTGTTCGGGTGTTTTGTAGGCACGAAGCCGTTCGAGCGCGTAAAATTAGCGATTTTAGGGGCATTTTTACGTGGACCCACAAAACACTCGGTATTTACGAGGTTTTCTGCTGTTGGAACCCCCCCCAAACCGAGCATCATGAGCATCAGCTGGGTCTCTGGGCCGTCGGCCCCGACGGCCCCCCAAAGCCCATGAGAAACGATGGCTGGATGATGCGCCCGGACCCCGCGCATCAGCAGCATCAGCAGACCCCCCCCCGGACGTGGGTTTCGATGATGCGCACTTTGGGGGCGGGTCAAGGGCAACAGGGGTGGGGGTCGGAGGCACGCGTGAAAAACCTCATAAAAACACGGTATTTACGGTGATTTCAGCGTTTTTCAGCGTTTTTTATTGCCTTGGGGCCGCGGGCCAGGGCTGCTGATGCTCATGATGCTCGCCTGGTTTTGGGCTTCCGGTACCCCCCCCAAACCTTGAAAAACGTGGTTTCGGCCTGGCGCGCGCCCCATGTGAAAAGCTAGGGCCGATGATGCGCGCCCGTGAGGGTTTAATGGGGTGTTGCGGGTGTTTTGTGGCCTCGGTTTTTCGTAAAAAACCATGGTTTTTACGAGGTTTTCGTGCTTTTCGCACCACCGCGTGTTGCGTCTTCTTGGATGCCGTTTTGGAGGCCTCCCGAAGGGCCCCGCGCGAATTTGAAGCAGTTTTGGGCGGGGTCGGCGGCTCGGGCGCTCGCCCCTTAAAGCTAGCGCTTTAGTGCGACGCGGGCTCCGCCCTGGACCACGGGCGGCGCGGGGGCCGGATTTAATGGCTACCGCCAGTGCCGCCGACCCCAGATGCAAGACAGTCGCATTGGGGCGGAAGGCAGGGTGGAGCGCGGGCAGGCGGGGGGGGCGGGGGCGGGGGGGGTGGGGGTGGGTGGGGGTGGAAAGGGGTGGGGGGTGTGGGGGGTGACGGTAGAGGGTTGGTGTCGGATTAGGGAGTTGGGGGCGGAAGGCAGGGGTGGACTGGGGGGCATAGAGATGAAGAAGCGATGAGAGCGGTGAGAGCGGGGGGCGGTCGGATGGTGCACGATGGTGGGAGGGGGTAATGATGAGGGCTGGGGAGGGTTGGTGGGAGGGTTAGGGAGTGGGAGTGGGAGAGGGTGGGGGCGGCTGGCGGAAAGGGGGGCCTGACTCATTTGACCAGCTCTGGTGAGAGGGTTGGGGCGGAAGGCAGGGTGGAGCGCGGCGGGTGGACAGGGGAGGTGACGGTTGAGGGTTGGTGGAGTTGGGGGCGGAAGGCAGGGGAGTGATGAGAGCGGGGAGGCGGTTAGGGCGGGCTTGGATTGGAATCCCTCAAACTAGAGATTTGTCAGGGCGGAGTAGGGGGTAGGGGCCTAGGAGGGAAGGGATGGGGGGGGTGGGGGGGGGTGGGGTTTCAGAGTCGAGGGTGGGGGGTTGAGGGCAAAGGGTTGGTGTCAGGGAGGGGTGGACTGGGGGGCATAGGGAGGGGGAGTGATGAGAGCGGTGAGAGCGGTGAGGGCGGTCAGGGCGGGCATGGACTGGAATGCTTAAAACACTAGAGATTGGTCAGGGGGTGGTCGGGCATGCACTGGACCCTTTAAACCACCTGAATGGATGGGGTGGGGGGGGGTCAAAGGTCCAATTCAAGGCGTCATGGGTGAGGGCGATGGGTGGTGGGGTTTGGGCATGCACTGAAGCCAAACAATGCAAAAACACTCCAATTCAAGGTGTCATGAGCAGCATGCTGTGAGAGCGGGTGAGGGCGGTGAGGGCGGTGGGGGGTCTTCACTGACGCCGCCCTGCTACCGCTGGGGTCGGCGGATTCCCGAAAAGCGTTGCCGTCGTGATTTGATCTTCCAAAACGGCAAGCGGTCTCTGACTTCAGGCATGATACATCGGGGACCAGGGGGGGTCGGATATGACGCTTGTGCTTTTGAATTGTCGACTCATGGCTTTTGGGGGGTTTAGGGTTTTAGGGTTTCGGGATAGAAGAGCATCCGACAACGGCGGGGGGGGGGCGGGGGGTTTAGGGCTTAGGGTTTAGGGTTTAGGGTTTAAGGCATCTGATCCGAACACATGGCCATCCGGCAAAGCAGAAACCTGTCAAGCAGCTCCATCAAGAAGCAGCTGTGGCGTAAGCACGCTCGCAGATACCATGCCCAGGCAAACAAGTCATGGGTGATGCCGGACTGGATTTAGGAATTGGTGTCTTTCCGACTTCTTTGGTTCAGAATACTTTAAGCCCTAAACCCTACCCTAAACCCTAAGCTGATCATAGCTGCGATTCGTTTTCAGTGAGCTGAAGCCTATCCGTAAGTAGCTAGAATCTGCAAACAAATCAACATAAGCCGTACATGACCCAGATTCTGTCCAACCCGAAAGCCTACCCTAAGAACCCAAGACCTACTTGTTTGTAGGTTCTTATACTAATATCCTTTAGAGGATTCTTAGGGAACCTACAAAACAAGTAGGTTTTGGCGTTCTTTAGGTACCAGAGTCTCACCCAGGATCAGCAAGTACTTGCAGGAATTGGATCGCTTTGACAAAGAAGATGTGCGAAAGCACGCTGCGCATGTCGCGTCGTGGATCGCGTATGGCCCGAAACCTGCCAGCTCTTCTATACTTACTGGGTTTTGGAGCACTATACTTGAATACTTTTTTTGGTTCTGGGTTCCTACAATAGCTACCAAAACCCACAAAGTATTTTCTTTGTTTCCAGGGTCTACTGCAAAGTAGGGCTTACTTGGCCAATAGTTGAACTTTAAACTTTTTGGGCTTCCTCAGTTTAACCCTTTTTTTCACCTTGGTTACTTGAGAAGTATGAAAACGCGCGAGGGCAGGGCTGCGTCTTGCAAGTCTGCGTTCTGTTCTGTTTTTTTCATCGGGAATTCAGCTACATAATCGGGGTTCTCATGTACCTCTCCAAGAGGTTCGTGGCTGATACTTTCAAGGGTCGGTTCCCAAAACCAAGGAAAGCCCGCATTCCAAAGACGGCTGAGATCAAGCTCTTGCGGAAATACGTCGCCAAGTTGGGAGGTGGCCTCCTACCTGAACGTTTGGAAGTGCCTTGGGGACCAGATGGCGAACTTTCGTATTGTGTTCATATATCCTATACTACCACAATTCATCCCCACTATACCATAAACCTGAAAAGCCCTACCTCGGACCCTGTTTACCTACAATTTAGTAGTAAGTACCCCCTATGTAGTAGGCATAACGGTATAACCTTGAAGATGTAGGTAAATCGGGGCCAGGGTAAACACTAAACCCTTTTGGGGTTCGTTTGGTCCGTAAGGTGGTCCTACCAGATGCGAAGACGGCGCTGCAGTCGGCCTTCACGATGGGAAAGGTCAGCGAGGTCCCTTGGATAAACCATACGAGGACCCAGAGTAGGCCCTCATTCCCTTTGTAAGGGTTTCTGGTTTAGGGTTTAGGGCTAGGACCCCGAGTTCGCCCTTATTCCCTTTTTGTTGGGTTCCCTTACAAGCCCCGCTCAACCAAAAAGGGCACCCTGTTACTCCTAGGTTACTCTTGAACTTGGGTACCTGATGCTACTTCAATCCCTGTTATTATGTTTATGGAATGCAACTATACTTCTTCGAGCTCATTCAGCATGTAGGAGCCCCAGCACCCTATACCCCGAGGTCTGGAGACAGGCAGCGGACCAGCTGCAAAAGACTCTCGACAAGTTCCGCTGCTGCCGCCCGCAGACAGACCAAGCGCTCGCTGTGGCCGCAATGCACGAGAGTGCAACAGCTGATGTAGCCCCTTGGGGACTACTACATCAGGATGTGGTCCATATAGTCCATCTTAGGAAGAAGACAGTGTTGCGGTTTTTGGTCTCTGGTCGTCTCCCAGGTTGTTGTGCCCGATGACGACGAACCTTTCTACGAAAGCCCAGCATCTCTCGGCGCGTCCAGCCAGCATCTGCAGCTCTGCAGAAGGATAAACCAGTGGGGTTTCCTGGATGATGTGCAGAAGCTGGAGCGCCTCCGCCAAGCTGAGGAGGTCCTAAACCCCAAACACTAAGCTGTTTGCCTAAGCCCTAAACCCCAAGCCCTGAGCCCTAAAACCCTAAACCCTAAACCCATAAACCCTAGCGCTAAACCCCAAAGCCCTAAGCCAAGACCCCAAATCCTAGCCCTAAGCCCTAAACCATAAACCCTAAACCCTAAACCCGGAAGGTCGCCAGGCGCCCATGGAGGAATCTCAGTGAGGGGGAGCTGGCTGAGGTCGTCAGCATGGCGGCCACGGCTCTTGCAGCTCCACGCAGAAAGGTGGGGGTTTATGGGTTTGGGGTTTAGGGTTTAGCGTTCAGAGTTTAGGGTAGGCTACAAGTTCCTTCCTATATCCTATATCGAACTTCACTAGGGCGTAAGGCTTAGGGGAAGATCTCCTCATATTTGTAGTATATAGATACTTGAAACTCTTCGGGGGGTTCTGTACTTGGAGCTCCTGAGAGAAGTCGGAAGCCAGAATAGCCCCCAGGCGTTGGCGCAAGAAGAAGAGGCTGAGGCTAAAGAGTCAGGCCAGGCAATGGCGCACACAGACCCGGGTGCCAATCATGATCTACAGAGACGGGTGCGGTCGCTGTTGCTTCGGGCTCTTCGCATGTGGCGGACCAGCCACTATGATTTCCGAGTGATTGAGCATGTGCTCGGTTTCGTCCATGTGAAGATCGACAAGTTTGAGGAGAAGGTCGGAGATATTCAAGATGCTGCAGCTGGGAGTTCTTGGCTGGCCATCAAAGATGTAATTGGTGAGCTGCTGCAGGGCGTCGCTTGCTGTGCTTCCGGACTCCAGGCTTGCGAAGACAGGCGCGAACCGCTCTTTAGACGGTTTCAGCGCCAGAGCGGGGTGCGAAACATTTGCTGGAAAAAAGAAACTGCGAGCTGGCGAGTGCAGTGGCAGGAAGCCGGCAAGCGGAAGCAGCTCAACTTCCTTATCTCCAAGCACATGAAAGAGGGCCTCTCTGAGGAGGAGGCGGTGGCGGCCTCATTGGAGGAGGCCAAGGTGTGGCGTGAGGAGCTGGTGCGCCAGGGCAAGCTGCAGCCCTCGAAGCCCAAAGCCACCGGTTCCACAGTGATTGGCGTCACAAGCAACACAGGAGGAACTTTTCGGGTCGTACTCACCAACCCCCACACCAAGAAGCGCGAAGGCGGCACCTTCAAGACGCTGGTGGAGGCCGAGGCCAAGGCGTGGGAGCTGGCCAAGAAGTGGGGCCTGCACGACGAGGAGGTGCAGCGGCTCTCGGAGGTCCCGCACTTCGAGCCGCTCGGGCCGGAGAAGAATGTGAGGTGGGTCCTCGGAGAGAAGGCCTGGCATGCGCAGTGCAATGTCGGAGGGAAGAACAGGCACAAGAGGTGCCGGCCCAAGGACCTCTCGGCGAAGGAGGTGGAGAAGGCCTGGAATCAGGCGGTGGCCTGGCGCAAGCAGCGGGAGAAGGAGCGAGCCGACCGAGCTCCAAAGCGCTGAAGGCCGAGATGGCCACGAAGTTCGGGGTTCACGGGAACTCGAGGGAAGCTGCTCAATAGGGCTCCCACACTTCGAGCCATTCGGGACGAGGGCCCGAAGATCTCTTGGAGAAGGAGGTGGCGGAGGCCTGGAGTCAGTCGGTGGCCTTCAAGCAGCAGAAGGAGCAGCACAAGGAGAAAAAGCAGTGAGGAGAGGCACCTGCCCGGAGACGCGATTCCGAAACTGGAAGCTACAATGATTTGGGTGGTTCTCAAACAGGGTCCCTTTTTTGGGGGATCCTTTAAGGGTGCCGTACGACACAGGGGACCCCAACAAAGGGACCTGAAATTAGAGAACTACCCATGTAGTCATAATCGTAATCATAATTCCTAAGCCCTAACATACAAATCATAAATTAAGCCTCATCCTTCAGCCAAGCCCAAACCCCAACTCACCCCCAAGCCGTTTTAATTCGCCAGCATCCGCTGCGAGCGTCCGCGAGCTGTGAGCTCTCACGCCTTGAAAGTTCGGGTTTGTTGGGTATTAAGAGTTCAGGATTTGGGGTTTACGGTTTGGAGTTCAGGGTTTGGGGTTGAGGGTCTAGCGCACCTGTTTAACCTGAAACCCTAACCCTGAGCCTTAAGATTCATGGGGTTTGTTGAGCTCGGGTTTAGGGGTTTAGAGGGTGTTAGGCTCTGGGGATTGGCTATCCAGGGTTGAGAGGGGTTGGGCTTAGAGGGTCTATGCAGCCCAACCCCTAGGACCTAAAGCCCTAGGCCCTAAAACCTTCAAACCCACCCTGAACCTTTAAAACGGAAATCCTGGCTAAAGCAGTATCAGGGCATGCGCTTACCGGATATTGGGTTCAGTCCGGCGTTTAGTTGTTGGGTTCAGGGTGTAGGGTTTAGGGTTTAGGGTTTAGGGTTTTAGGCTTTGGGGCCCAGGGTTTGGGGTTTAGGGCGTCTGGCAGTCAGCAAGTCCAGCTTCACAAAGGGCTAAACTCCAGCTTACTCGACAGGACTTTCGGGGCCTAAACACTAAACCCTGAACACTTGAGCAGCGTTTTTTTCTACGAGCAAGGCTACGTAGAGACGCGATCATTGAAAGTCGGCCGCGTAGCATTTTGCCTGCAGGGCGTAGGTTTGCGTAGGGTCCGCGTAGGCAAGTCTATGCAGTATGGGCGCGTAGGTCCGCGTAGGTTGTCTATGCTTGCCGCGTAGGTCCGCGTAGGCACACGTCAACAACATACTCCGCGCGTAGGCCGCGCGCCTACTAAACATGAGCTGACGCGTAGGCCCGCGTAGGATACCCATGCCATTACAACACCCCACACAATGAAAAAAAAAACTGCTCACTTAAACCTTAAACCCTAAACCCTGAACCCGAGGGTTTATGGGCCTCTGTGCAGTAACCCGCAAGGCCTGAAGCCAAGAACCCATTGGGGGAGCCACAGTTGCGGCGAAAAGTGATGGGGAACCTCTGCAACCCTAAGCCCGAAACCCTAAACCCTAAACCTAAACCCTAAACCCTAGACCCTAGACCCTAGACCCCAGACCCTCGACCCTCGACCCTCGACCCTAGACCCTAGACCCTAGACCCAGACTAAACCCCCCCCCAATGCCCTGCAAGAGCAAAGACCTAGACCCCAACACCGAGTCAGCATCTACAAGCCCTGCAAGCCTGTCATCGGAACTTTGAGAGCAGACGCCATGCCCTTAACCCCCAGCGAGCCGAACAATGAACAAGCAACAGCACAAAAACGGCCCTAAACCCTAAACCCTAGCCCTAAACCCTAAACCCTAGTAACCCTAAACCCTAGTAACCCTAAACCCTAAACCTGTAGGAGCCTTGCCATTCCGGGCTTCCTTGTGCCAAGCTTGCGGATTTTGGCATCGCGCGCGTCCCCAGCGCGGCCTGTTCGGTAGCCTTCCTGTGGTGGCTTGGGGTTCAAGCCCTAAACCCTAAACCCTAAACCCTAAACCCTAAACCCTAAACCCTAAACCCAGGGTTGAGTTGGTGTTTCTACGTGCTTTGGCAGGGGTTGGGGCTCGACTTCGGATTTCGGCGGAGCCTTGGGAGGCAAAAGAAGATCCCCTTAAGGGTTCTTAAAAACCCTAAACCCTAAACCCTAAACCCTAAACCCTAAGCCGGTTTACCCTCCACAAAGTCAAGGCCAAGATCCTTGAGCTGGAGACCTCCCTGGCGGGTGCCGCAACTGCCGGCATGCCCAGTCCAGGGTTTAAGGGCTGTAAGGAGGGTTTAGGGTTTAGGGTTTAGGTTTTAGGGTTTAGGGTTTGCAGGGGCCCTGAATCTCATTCCCCTACATAAGCTTCGATACCTGATAGTCCTTGTATAATTAAGTAGCCCCTAAATACCCCTAGGTACACCCTACTCCTAAGGTCCCTTATGCGGCTCCCTCCCTTAGTCTCAGGGTCTGCTTGAAGATGGGGAGCGCTGGGGCGCTTGCAGCAGTCCTCAGTGCCCTTAACGTTTAGGGTTTAGGGTTTGGGGATTCCCCTAAACCCTAAACCCTAAACCCTAGCCCTAAGCCCTAAACCCTAAACCTAAACCCTTGTTGGGAGGATGGAAGCTCCTCATATTACTGGATGGTGCGCTTTTGGGTCGGCCCAGGGTGCCGGAATACTCCCTAGCGTGATTGAGCTATATATTAGGGTCATAGTCTAGAATAGTCAGTGTATACATATATATATATATGTGTGTGTGTATGTGTTTTTTGTGTGTAATATTCTTGGTGGGACCGTGAAGAAAGGAAGGATCCCTTTTCTTTTTGAGTCGGTTCTCGCGAAGTGGCTGGGTTGCGGGGGGCCCCTGTTGCATATTTTGCCTCAGCGCAGAGGACCCCTAAACCCCAAACCCCAAACCCTAAACCCTAAACCCAGGAACCTCAAACTGTACCCACTGACTCCCTGAACCTCATGCCGAACCCCATGCCAGGCAGTACTTTAAACCCTAATAAGCCCAAACCCGCCGGATCTCACCCTCAGGGATGTGTTGTGTATATAACCTAATAATTAAAAATGTTTTACCGAATAGAACTTATCAGAATTTATTTTCTAATGTGCAATATTGATAATGTTTGTATATACCATGCAATATACAATGTATAGCACACACAAATATTTTCTATTAAACATACATGTAAGGTTTATGTTCAAAGATGCCCAGAGGTCATCGGCACGCCGCACTACTTCGCGCCCGAGCCCGGCGCCTGAAAGAATGAAGGGTCGGAGTTCGTGCCGCAGAATTCTACAGGAAATCTTACAAAAGGGCTTTGGGTTTTAGGGTTTGTTTAGGGTTTAGGGTTTAGGGTTTAGGGCAAAGGGCTTAGGGTTTAGGGCTTTCCTGCAGTGATTGTGGGGTCTGGTTTGTATTACACATGCAGCTGGCGAGATTGTCCGGGGCCCAGTATTCAAAAGGGCGGACTTCGAGGTTTTAGAGGGTTTAGGTTTTGGATTTCCCCCTTATACCAAGAGTCCTTAACAGGGTTTAGGGTTTAGGGTTTAGGGTTTAGGGTTTAATTATCATAGGGGGTACTAGAATTCCTATGATGAGGACTGTTAGTCGAAGGCGGGAACATCCCAAGTTTAGGTCCTCTAGGGCTTGATACCTCAGCCTGGCAGCATCTGAAAGGGCTCTGTGCTTGGGTATTGGACTCCTAAACCCCTAAACCCTAAACCCCTAAACTCCTAAACCCCTAAACCCCTAAACCCCTAAACCCTTAAACCCCTAAACCCCTAAACCCCTAAACCCCTAAACCCCTAAACCCCTAAACCCTCAGCCCTAAACCCCTAAACCCCTAAACCCCAAACCCTAAACCCTAAACCCAAACCCCAAACCCCTAAACCCCTAAACCCCAAACCCCAAACCCCTAAACCCCTAAACCCCAAACCCCAAACCCTAAACCCCAAACCCTAAACCCTAAACCCCTAAACCCTAAACCCTAAACCCCAGAGTTTGGTGCGGCGAGGCTCTGCCGGGGCGAGGTGTACGACGAGCGCCGTGCTCCCAGCAGTTGTAAAGCTTCCCTGATCCTACTTGGAGGCTCGCGGTAATCATAACCTTGCTTTAGGGTTTAGGGTTTGGGGTTTAGGGTTTAGGGTTTAGGGTTTAGTGCCCAAATATATGTACAGGTAGGGTTAACAAGTAGCATGAACCTCCAAGTATGCACCCCTCACGTAGCCCTTCTACAGCACTCAGCGCACTCATATGCTTATACCCGCATGGAAACACGTGAATATATAGACGTAAGTGTATGTAGAGATAGTTCAATAGGCAGGTAGGGATATGTAGAGAAGCTGTCCTTAATAGAAGCTGTCGCCGGACCAAACTACCTTAAGCTACCCTTCCTTGACAGGAGGGGGGGGGGTGCTATATATCATGGATAGCATGCTCCCCGTCCATATCCTACAGCCTCCATTGAAGTCTTTTCGGATTCAGTTGTGGCTTTGAGGGGTCTTCGACAGGGTCGTTTCGCTTTTTGACAGCTACATCTCCTCACAGGGTTCGTGAGGCCTTTCCCCCCATGGACCCCGCTAAAAGCCCCAACCGACATCATCCCAGAAGCCCGAAACCACCAAAGCCTAAACCCTAAACCCTAAACCCTAAACCCTAAACCCTAAACCCTAAACCCTAAACCCTAAACCCTAAACCCTAAGCCCTAAGCCCTAAGCCCTAAGCCCTAAGCCCTAAGCCCTAAGCCCTAAGCCCTAAACCCTACCCCGGGGTTGCGAGGCTGCTAGGCAGGTGGCAAAAAACCGGTTCGCCTCAGTTTTCCCTACTACGCTGAGGGGCTGACGCCTGGGCGCTAGGCGGGCGATGTGAAGGGCTTAGGTTTGGGTTTAGGGTTTAGGCTTTAGGGTTTAGGGTTTAGGGTTTAGGCTTGAGGGTTTAGGGTTTGGGGTTTCGGGTTTAGGGTTTAGGGTTCAGGGTTCAGGGTTCAGGGTTTAGGGTGTAGGGTTTAGGGTTTAGGTTTGCGGCTGCTTAGGCCTTGTCAGGTTTAA